GCATCGGCCTAACCGGTGCTAATGATGCCACACTCTAATTTATAATGCCACAATCTAATTTATAATGCCACTCCTTTAATAGCTTGTGTAAGGGTGTTTCATCTCTTCTCAACACTTATAAATTAAAAATTAATTATTTAAATACGTGCGATGCCGAAACAGATTCGCCAACATGCACATCACATGAACGAACCAATAACGGAGATGACGAAAGATTTTTCTGCACGATTTAGCTGGCTGAACAAACTATAAAGAAAACAAATTGGAGAGAGATTCCTCTTGCTTAAAAGTTAAAATGACATAAAAAGACTCCATGAATATAAAATGTTAGTTGATGAGTTGGAAACGTACAACCAAGCAACTCTATTATTTGCAGAACCTATAAGGCTACAAAGAGCAAGTTTTAGCAACCCCTTGACAAAGAGGAAACGTAAATGGGTGGTTCAAGTTGGTTTCCCACCTATCTGATACTCACATCGGCCCTTCATTTTCTAATTGTAGCAAAACCACATCGCATAATTACATATTATTTCTTAGACTTATTCGGTTTACTTCCTAGTAGTATATGTTTCCTACCACAAAGAGATATGATCTAACGGTAAGCAAATTATCAAAATTTAATTTTTATTGTACATGAATGAGTACAATATTTAATCTCATTTAATCTAAAAAAAAAATTTAGCGATGAACCAAAAACTAAAAGTATTTAGGTGTTTGTTTAGCTCAAAAAATAATGTATTTAATTTGATTTGAAAACATCACACTACTTTTTGTGTTTATCATGTTCTGTTCTTTTGAGAAATAACCTTTCGATTTAAAATGGTAAAAAAGAAAAAAAGAAGGGCTTTTCTACAAAAGTTTACAGGATCTATTTATGGAAGCCTTAATCTGCAAGTGTCGATCACTGATATTGAGCGTAAAATATACTCTTTCATGCCTCAAGGAGAAAGGAACCATTCTCTTAATGCCCCTTCAAGGAATAACTTATTGAATTTCTTGCGTGAAAAAAAAAAAAAAAAAAACAATGGACTTCGGGTGCCAGAAAAGGCAATCTGCATGTGATGATGGAGTGCTATAATGCAAGATAAAGAAATTAAGAATTGAGTGGTTGGAAGATACAATAATTGAAGTCACAAACAAACAAATCACATCAATTATAATACAAAATAATAATTGGTTACAGCAATATGAATCTGTTTGACCCAAAGGTCATAAAGATTAATGAAAAATGAAAAGCCCAAGTAAAATACCTTCAAGCCCTTTTGTCCCTCGATTCCCATCCATGTAACACCCTAACAAATCCCTGTACCATTTGGGACAAAAGGGCTTGAAACAAATAAATCAGAAAAGAAAACAATGACACATAAATCTCAAAATTTAGAAAAGGAGTTGCCCAAATGCAAGGGCGACAAGAGAGGCAAAAACAGCTGGTACAAAAGAAGTAGCGTCAGAGGTTGGGCTAGGAGCCGGGGCATCTGCTGCTGCTACATGTTGGACGGCTGAAACAGCCATGAGCACAACCATCACAGCCAAGAATACTCTCATCTTCAATGCCTCCATTGTCAAAATTTTTCTTTTTCTTGCTGGAAGGGATGAGAATATTAATGTTTGGAGGCAAAAATGGAAATGCAAGAATTGAGAGAATGGCTGATGGGATGAGATGACAGGATTAGGGAGGATGGTGGATACTTTATATAGTTGTTGGGGAGGAGACAAAAGTGTGTGTTACGGTCAGGCTGCCCATAAAGACAGTTGTTGGGGAGCGCATGCACATGGTTGCCTTTTGAGGCTGCAAGTCATTTTCTATTGCTAGAGCTGCCCAAAGCTGCCCGTTTGTTGGACAGGGTGGCTTTGATTACCTTTATTGTGAAATACAGCTGGTGCCAACGATTTTGTGGCCATATTTTGAGGGCGCCCACTCTTTTTATCTTTAATTTAACTGCTACCTCTTTCCCTTTTTTTTCTCTTTCAAATTTTTGAATTGAAAATTTTGAATTCCAATTATGGCACTGATAATAACGACATGTTGCGTGGTTTTCAATCAATCAAATTGGTCAGAGAAAATACGGCATTCGGCATCTTTGGTCCATGATATTTTTATCTCTTTTTGCGAAATATATATAAATGATTTTTGAGTGTTCGAAGTTTTTGAATTATTTAATGGAAATGTATGGCAGTGGGGGATGAGCTGTTGAGATTACATGTATGTAGTCATATGCTTTCAGTTTGGAGCATTTTTAGTTTTATCTTTTCCTTTAGATACCTCAAATAAGTCCTCCACCTATCCATTAATTTTCAACTGGACCACTAAACTATGAGAAATTCCTCACTTGATTGCTTCTATGCATCTTAGTTGATATTTTTCATCATTTTATGCCATCAAGAAATGGTATTTTGAATAGAATTTGACATTTTTCATTAAAAGTTATAATGATTTTAGATAAAAGTACTAAATTGAGAAATGTGTGATACGTTAGTAATGAAATAGATACAATTAATTGATTGGGATGAGATTGAGAATCAAGTAATACATTAGGCAGTTAAGATGATGATGAGGTTTTCTTCTTTTTTCTTTTTTCATATTTTGTGGTATCACGAGTTAGAATTAATCTTATGGCTTTGAATCAATCAAAAATAAATCATGTATGTGGAGATTGGAAAATTAATGAAACTTTTACTCTTCATGGTTTGATTTGGGGTCTGAACTTAGTTGGTCATAAAAACATCACACCATTTTAGCTATGAAGTGATCATTGGTGATTAATCATATATAAGCAAGTAAAATTGTTTTGACAGCAATAATTATTTACGAAAAGAAATGGAATTTTCTTGTAAATAATACCTAACATTTTCAACAAATCAGAAAGTTTTTTTTATGAAAAAACTTGCATCGTAGGCAATGCTTCAATCAATTAATAAAAAAAATACAAGTAGAACTCAATCTTCTATTATTATTGTTGTTGTTATTATTATTTGTTTGTTTTTGTTAGGTAACATTCATTCTTCTAATTTTATTAAACTGTGAAATATCTTAACCATTAGCCAAAAAAAATAAAGTGAAACGAGATATTATATGATGCTGCAACAATTTCAATCCAAGATAGCCAAACAAACAGTTGGGACCAATGAAACTCAAGAAGATGCATGGAAGCATTTGGACCTCAAATTCACACCATGTAACCATCAAATTTTTGCAACAATTAAGTAATTGTTGGTCACGAGCAACATCACACAAAAATGTCATTGTCAAGGTCACACAAAAACATCGTTAATTAATTTCTTTTAGGTCGACGTCTTACCTTCCCTTCGAAGGCAATGAGGTTAGAATGATTAAAACCTTATAACATATTTCATGCCATTTTCGCACTCACAAGGTCACCACATCCTTTACTATACTTGGTTTTAAAGGAATAGTGTAAGTATCAAACGAAATCTATTTGTCAGAGTTACTGAATGATCTGTCCTTATTTAATTTCTCCAAGTTTGTCAGCTACTTTATCCATTGGTGATCACTGAGTGGAGATTTACCGATATTTGTTTATTAATCTTGGTTCAGAACTACTTGGTCCTTGAATTTTTTTTCAAAATAAAATATTATTTTTTTTGTAGAAAAAAAGTTTTGCATGCTATTCAAAAGTTCTATGATTTATTTTTTAAAAAGAATTGAATGTAATAAATAAATGGGGCAAGTCCCTGAAAATTGAAAATTTAAAAATCTACTACCACTACACAACAACAACATATCACTCATAACATCATTACCGTTTGTTTTTACGGGACCCAAAAATAATTATTACTCTTTTAATTAATTTGAACTAGATATATAAGACCTACGATTTGAATTAACGGTCAATAATAATCATAATGTTGCAACATGTTTCCAACAACCTGCGTATTGATCCCTTTTCAACTACATTTAAACATATTCATTCGTATTTATATATTAAAGCTGGCGATGCATGAGTAACACCATCCAAAATTACAACATCAAATCGCAAGAAATTAAGAAAGAATTGGGTCGTCATTGATTTGTGTATTCAGCATTTCTATGCAATCATATCGAAAGAGAGAAATTAAGGACGTCAAGGATAACCAAAGTTGCCAAAGTGTAGTAGTTAACGTAAAGAATTGGTCATTTCTAGGTATTCGAAAGTCAATTGCTGCAACTATCAATCATTATTTTGTGCAAAAAAATTCAAACGTTCTTTCGAAGAGGGCGACTAGCTAAGCAGACCTATGAGTTTGCAATACATATAGAGGGTTTCAAGTTTCAAAAATGATCCTTCTTTCCTTCTAAACTCTCTCTCTCTCTCTCTCTCTCTCTCTCTCTTTCTATCTTTCTTTCTGTCTCATGATTTGAATGGCTTGTCTTACAACTGCTTTTGGCTTTGCCCTGGACATGCTTCACATTTTCTTTCCTTTGACAGTATATCCCTAGTTACCACCTAGTCTGCAATGGTACCTTCTATTCGAGGTTAATTTGCTTCCGTATATAAGTACATGTACTGTGTGAGTACAACAACCAAATCTAACTACTTCAAAAATTAAAATGTACACATTTTTTGGACCTCTATCCTATTTTCACGCTAGACTGCATGCCTCATCGTACCATTTCTTTTCTTTCTTAAAAAAAAAAAATCATTATGATGATTCAGGACTCTAATGGGCTTAGTCTCATGACTAATCAGCACCACACCGACACATCCGCACAGGAAATTTAACGAACAGATGGGGGGGCCAGATGAGCACGGAGGAGGACAAATGGGCAATGCATTGTCACTGACAAGAAGAACCATTAAAATTGTCTGCTTTTCTATTTCTCATAAATTCTATGATTAACAAAGCTTACAAATATATATAAATTTTTGATATCTATGGATAATGTGTGTACAACTTCAGGATCTCATGAGTTTAAGTGGCGAATGACACGTCACCGATAAATGTCTCTCTCTCCTTCTCAATAGACGCTCGGACAAAACTCAAACGAATAAACAGCCATGCTATCGATGGAGGACGGGACGAATCGCTAGATCTTGATTCGTAGAGTCAGGCCTACTCTCTACCTGTCAACACACCCACATAATGGATATTACTAAACCTATCATATATTTTGTTATTTTTATCAAATTTTTTATTATAAATTACCCACGTATCATCACACATTAGATATAAGAATTTATTATTAATTTGAAATAAAAAATTGATAAGAATAACAAAAACATATGATGGATTTAGTAATACTCATATATAATATACTCATTAAATAAAAGGTTATTTTTATTCAAGGAAAAACAAAAGTGATATTATCATATTTGTTCAAGAATAACTCGTCAACATCAAAAATACTTATTCTCTAATTGTTGTAAAAATTTACAGGCAGCAATGAAAGAGACAATTCTATCTCTTTTCATACAAATTGACGAATTTTGTAGCTATATAAACAACTATAAGACTAGGGTTTGAATGTCTAAAGTCTCCTCTCTCATTTCTCTATTCATCTCGTCCCCTCAGTGCCTATATTATTAGCATTATTGTTTCTTCATGCTTAATCCCTTCCTTCGTTCACTAACTTAGTTACTGAAGAGTTCTCCGTCCAATTAAAATAACTTGTTTTACAAGTATTCTATTATTGCAACCACCACCTCCAAATCAAAGACTCACACCATCTTATGAGGTTTTATGACCTCCTCAATGAAGTTGTCCATGTGGAATTGATCTCTACGCTAGCTTTATGGGCAAATATATCTATATGCCCTATATATTACTCAAAGTCTCTTATCTATTCTTAAAGGTCTAATTGCATTTTATTTATTCTTAAAATTTTTTAAATATTCAAGATATCAATTTGATTAATTTTTTAGACCATTGACAATTTTTTTTTTATCGGAATGCCCTTTACTAAAATGAAAAAAAAACATTTAAAGTCACATGACTTGCATATTTTATTTTTAAAGTCTTTAAACTTTTATTTTGTTACATTTCGATCAAAAAATTGCATATGGATCAAAAAATGATCAAAAAATAAATTAAATATTTCAAATACTTTCGAGAACATAGGTGATGTAATTAAAAATATTAAAATAGATGAAAAAATTTAAGTATTATATAAGGATAGATAAATATATACTCGAAGCTTTGGTTCGTTTATCTCCTTATTCAAGCTCTTTTTTTACTAAAAACCAAGAAACATCAAGCCTAAGACTAGGCCGAGGGGCTTTCATGAACTTTGCAAGACCTAGTGTTCAACACGTGGACTTTTTTGAACTATAATAACAAGTTCAAAGTTGACAAAGGTCGATCTACCTATACAAAACAACTTAAGACACTTCATACTCCATCACCGGCACCACATATGCAACCAATGCTACTATTGGTTCCATTGTACAAGAAAGATTATTCACCTCCTTCTCCTTAAAACGTTTATGAATAACTACCTTTCAATGAAGAGATAAAGAGGCACGATCAAATAGAGGACGAAAGAAAAAAACACCACCCCTCTCTTAACCCTCAAAGAGGTCGCTTTTATAATCTTAAAAAAGCCAACCAACTAAAGTTCTAGATTAGAGAGAGAGAGAGAGAAGAAGAAGAAGAAGAAAAGGGTCAAAGTATCGCTAAAATTACAAAGAATGCTAAAAGAGACACTACATTGAAGGCTCATATTCTCAAATAATCTCGGTCGGTTTTGAACCTAAATGCCCACGAGATAGATATGAAGTTGGCGGTTTTACTATCTCAAGTTGAATCACTATGATCATAGGGTTCAAGCTTCTCTCATCGCCTCTTGCATAGTGAACAACAAGATCTCAAAACGAGTTCATCTCTACAAAAATGAACTTGGATATTTATGATAGTTAAATCGATCCTCGAGAGCATGTGTAAAATGTCGAGGGCACTCTCGAGTTGGTACTTCAAGGCACGAATGTCATGTATAAGTTCTTACCTACTACCTTCATAGGGACAACAAGAAAAATAGTACAATAATTTAGACCTCGTGTCTATATTTAGTTTTAAAGATCTACGTTCTAAGCTTATTGCTCGATTCTCCTCTAGTATTTCTGTGAGATGAAATTTATTGACTTATTCATCATCATCCAAAAAGAAAATGAGACTAACATAACATATCTCCCTAGTTTTCACGAGAAAATACTAAAGATAATGGGTTGTTAGAGCTCGTGGCCATAAAAGGCTTGATAGACGAGGTTTATGATGCCAACTTATAAAGAGATCTTTATGCACTTTTAGATAAAAGTCTTTTACCAAGTGAAATCTATTATAGAAAGTGACATTCGATCGGAAGAAGCTAGCATCTGCTAGATAAGATTACCCTCATTTTAAAAAATCAATGTAAGAGAAAAAAAGAGAGAGATATTTATAAAATTGTTTGAGCTAAAAGAAAAACCACAATGGATCCATTTGTCACCGGTAGCTCAGTGTTTTTTGAATTCCAAGCCACATCCTTAAACATTACCCAAATAGAATCTTATGCTTGTCATAAAACAAACAAACTAAGCGAATTATCATTTTCCTATAGAAAGTCCTCCCTAATATCGCAATTGAAAAAAAAACTACCTTTTTTCACAATAAGAACAAGCATGACACTAAGAATTGCTTTGCACTAAAAAAGGAGATTGAGAGATTGATCACCAATGGTTATCTCAAGTAATTCATGAAAATGAGACTTGATTTGTATCGGAATAAAAAAGGACTAAATGAATGCTAATATGCATTTTTAAAGATCAACAATATTTTTGGCGAGGCTCTCACCGATGAAGACTGCAGAGGAAAAAAAATACATGAAGTAGGTCTTTATCACTCGTCGAGCATCTATCACCTAGCATGATCCCATCATGGTCACTCTTAAATATACAAAGGAAGTAGCCTTTATCTACTAAAATGCTCTCATTATCACTATGATCTTCTCCAATTATAAGGTGTATTGATTTCTAGTGGATAATAGTGTAATCGTACATATCTTCTTTAAAGTAGTCCTCGACTTGATGAAGATTGATACCTTTAGACTACTTTTGGTAAAAAATCTTTTGGCAAGTATAGAAGAAAGATGAGTGCCAAATAAAAGGGCCATTAGAATACCAATCATTATGGGCACATTTTTCTAGAGCAAAATGCTCCACCATAACTTTATGGCCATAAAGATGGACTTACGACCTACTATCATCATTGAAGGCTCGTCCTTTATAAGATAAATACAACTATTTATATGAGATATCTAGCCTTAAAGTTTCTCATAAATAGTGGTGTGACTACTATAAAAGGTAATTAGTTAGCCTCTCATATTTGCATCTTCTCACGTGTGATAGGAAAAATGACTATGGTAGTTGAGGACTAAAATAGACCAATACGGAAGGGAGGAAATACAAATAAAATTCACCAAAAAGTAATAAAATATATCAATAAAAGAAAAAGACCAAAACTTTATGACCCAATTAGTTCGACTTAATGGTCGCACGGAGATATTAACTTGTTAAGCTTCTTAAAATCCAAAAACTCTAACTTTTCCTTTAGTTAAGCTAGTATGCCTAGAATTGGCTTGAACATGGCTTCATACCTACTAAATGTCAATCTCCTCTACCCCTTCAACCCCAATCTTTTAAAAGAGGTGGAATTTGAAGGAGAGAGGGAAGGTAGAAGACAATCTTTTCGAAAATGGATAAGCTCATAAAGATATCGTTCTTCGGGGATGTCATGTACCTAACTAGTCGGGTTGTGTGGTAATGGTAGAAAAGAACAATGGAAAATAAAGGATATGTATAGACTTTACCAATTTAACAAGGCATGTCTCAAATATAGCTTCCTTTTTTCTAAAATCAACATGTTAGTTGACTCTGTTATTGGCTTTGAATTATTGAAATTTTTAAATGCCAACATAAGTTACCACTAAATCCTCATGTATCCAAGGATGGGGAAAACCTTCTTTATCATAGGATAGGAGAACACATTAATATAAAACTATGCCATTTGATATGAAGAATGCAAAGCCTATCTAATGGAGAATGATAAAAAGGGTATTCAAGGGCCAATTAGGTAGGAATATGGAAGCTTATATAGACGACATGCTGGTCAAAAGCTAAACCATTCAAATGAGCGTTCGACATTTGAGGGACAAGTTATTGAGATTCCTTATGAGTAGTAGAGAATCGAGCCAAACTTATAAAGGGTTTAGACTATCCTATGCATACCGTCTATTTGATTAGTGAAGGACGTTCAAAGGCTCATTAGTCGATTGGCTATACTTAAACCTTTCATTTCTCAACTACGGGAACGATGCTTGTATTTTTTAGCATATTACATAATATCACGCTAGTCGAAATCTTTCATTTCTCTTTGTTATAATTTCATTAGTTTATACATTTACTTGGCACGTCACCGTCGGACGTGCGACACGTGTTATATATAAAACCCCGATAGAACACTCAATCAATACGAAAAAGAATTTGATACTTCAATCAAAACAATTCAAAGAATACGAGAGATCAAACAATGAGAAAAAGATAACTTAATTTTCAAAACATATAAATATTAAAAATTAATTTTAATTGCAAGGTTAATTGATCCATTTATCCTTATATATTCGATGTACTCTTTAAAATATAATTTTAAGAATCTATCACTTCCATACGCCTTTATATATTTATATTTTCTAGCTCTCATTTGTCGTTCTTGTCACTATTTGGATCAAAATGTTCTACAATCATTGAAAAAGAAAGGCTAAATGAATCAAACATCCTCTCGAATTTTAGTCTATTTGAAAATGAGTATCTAAAATTCTAATTTTGGATTTGACCCTAATGAACTACATCTATATTTTTAAAGATTTAATCTATCTTTTAGTTTTTTTTTTTAAATAACATTCACATAAATAGCTCTACTATGGAAACTCTTTAGTATGATTTATATGGGGCTCTCTAGAAAAAAAGATCGTTCCAAGTTATTTCTTTTATTTTTCTCAATGTTTTACATTTTAAATTATTTGAAAATAAAAAACAAAGTACTTCCTAACCTTAAAAATTCTAGATTTTTTTTCCAAAAAAATAGATTGAATTTTTTCTAACATGTGTGCAAAACACTAGCTCAAAAGACCAAGAAATGATTTTTTTAGAGGGGTAATGATACTCGAAAATTATAAGATAGACTAGATCTTAAAAATAAAAATAAAAATCAGCAGAAGTCAAATTTGAAATTAGAAGTTTAGAGATTAATTTTCAAATAAATTAACGTTTATGAAAAGCTTGGCCTATTCAGCAAAAAAATAAAAAATATAATAATAATGATGACGACGAAGATGGCAATGATGATGATAATAATAATTTTAAAAAGTCTAGGAAAAACATGAAAATGTCTAGAAAAAGCCAACAAAACATTAAAATAAAAAACACATAGAAAAAATAATAATAACTTGTCAAATTTGAAAAATGAAAAAAATTATGTCTACAAATTGAGATATGTTTATAGTAATGAAATAATTTTTAGAAAACATGGATTTTTGAAAAATTACATTAGTTACGAATTTATTTTGTATATTTCTATGAGTTATTTCAATTGTTAGGGATGTTATAAGTTTTTTTTTTAAGTGTTTAGGTTTTTTATTCTTTTTCTAGTTTTTTTTTATTTCACTTTTCCTTTATAATATGGGTTTTTTTTTAAAAAAAAATTTTCCTTTAAGTTTTTGAAAATTATTTTCAATTTTATATGTTTTTAAAATTAATTTTTTTCCATCATAATGGAAGGAAGGTAGCATGACAACAACAACAACAATAATAAATAAATAAAAATAAAGTATAAAAAAGTTTCAACCAATAAAAGAAAAAAGAGTATAAGGTTTCAAAGAGAAGAAAGATCAAATATCTTCAATAGCATATATGTAGAATTGGTGCATCTTTATTTGATTTCTTTTCCGATAAATATACTGAAATTTTATCCTGAAACACATCCTTCTGGGAAGGATTTGAATTTTATAGTTTGAACCATGTTTCAAATTAAGTTTTGCTAGATCCATCAAAGATTTCCTCAAATTTAGCTATCAATTTTGAATAATTGGTGGACTTGGGCTCACCTAGCACGCGTGAGATCCCAAAGCTCCTCTCATTCTCATATGATCTTCATAAACAAAGTTCAAAGACCACGAAGGCCCAAAACTAATCAAGCCCAATAGAACCTACGCTAAAGGAAGTTTGTATTTCCTGGGTCTCGAGATGGAGCCCACGACTTTGCCAATCCCACCATCAGAACCGTCAAATTCAATCTACGGTCGATAAACAATATTCAGTTTTTTCAGTCACAAGCAGGCAGAGAGGGAGATAAATACACACGAAGGGAGAAAGAAGAAACCTCACAAAGAAGAGAGGCTTTGCGTGAGAGAAACAGAGCGCAAAACAGAGAGACTCACTAAGCGACAAAAACCAAGAAGCGAAGCAGACTTCATTTGCTGCTTTTAGAGAGATAGATTTTGTTTTAGTTAAATTTTGCTTCTTTCTTTCTCTGTACAGAGAGCAAGCAATATCATATAGTGTTTGCTTCTAAAGGGGTTTCATTTCTCATGCAATTTTCTCTTGGTAACATACATATCTCCTTCTTCTCCTTTCTCCTCTATCTTCTATTCAACGTTCTCTATCTGGTGTTCCTTAACAAGTCAATTTTTTTTGAATGATTTTGAGAAATATATCCGTTTGATTTCTGTTTTACACTCGTAGATCTTGAAATTGAGCCACACAACTTCATCTTTTGTTGATTAAGAAAACCCCAGATGATGACTCTCAAAAATCAGTTTTCTTTTGGCTTCTAATGAACCAATTCTACAAGTTCTGTAGCTTTTCTCTTCTGGGTCGTTTTGATTCTTTCACTTCTCTCACTTTTACTTCAAAATTTTAGAATTTCTCCGATTTTCCGTTCCGTGATATTTTTGTTTTGCTCAAAGATTTGAACTTTATCTGGTCCTAACTAATGGGTTGGTCTTTGTTTCTTGTTTTCTGTAACAGAAATGGAGAAGGAAGAGAGAAACCAGAGATCTTCTTGCAAAGGTTTAGAGCCGGAGTTTTTCTTGCAGTGGGGAAATAAAAAGAGGCTTAGATGTGTTAGAGTTAGAGACCCTCAAATCATTTCACAGAGATCTGATGGTGTTTTTCGCAGGAAAATCACTTCTAGGATTGATAGATTTGTTGTATCTTCTGCCACTACAGAGAAAGACACCTCTCTTTTTCAATCAAATCGCCTCACAAGGTTAGATTGATTTCTCTGTATTCTTAACGGGCCAGTTCTTCAAGTTTTTCTGGCCTGGTGTTCGAAGCTTTTCAAGTGTGGAGCTTTTCTCTGACTTTTGTTTTTCTTGTATTTTCTCAGCAACCAAACAGAGAATTAAAAAGTTCCCAACTGAGAAAATGAGGTTGGAAGATTGCTTCTTGATTTGTGTTTGGTGGCTGAGAAAGTTACAGATAAAATTTTCATTTAAATTAGTGTGGTTCCTGTTGTTTTGGTATCCTAATTTTCCTGAAAAGGAGAATTCTGAATTACAAAAGAAAAACGTTGGATTCTTTATTTTCATCTCCTTTTTTGGTTGATGGGCAAATACAAGAAATTAAGAATAGGTTGTTTTTTAAATGTATAATGAAATTTTTGTTTGTGTTTCTTCTAGATCTCAATTCCCAAATAAAGAGTAAACTATCGCTTAAAAAGTGACTGATCAAAATCTGAAGATTTGATTTTGTGGGTATGGTTGGATGCAGGAATTCTGAGGCAGCAATACTTAGGTCCAGTGTGACTGAGAACAGGAAATCTTCTTCGCCGGAGAAGGAGGACAGGTATTACACTACAAGGGGGTCGGTGGTTCTGGATGAGAATGGTGGCAAGGTTTCAATGGATGGTAACAATGGAGAGGATAAAGGACATGTCTGGCCAAAGCTATATGTTACTTTGTCAAGCAAAGAAAAAGAGGAAGATTTTATGGCTATGAAAGGGTGTAAGCTTCCTCAAAGGCCTAAAAAGAGAGCCAAAGTTGTACAAAGAAGTTTACTTGTAAGTCTCCCTGATGATAAATGCTCTCTTCTTCGACATTTTACTTCTCTTTCTCAGTGGTTTAGTTAATTCTTCTATGAAGGATTACTGGTTTTGTTTTAGGGGTTCATCCTTTTCACGTCTTGCTTCTTGATGGTGGGTTTTTAATTCTTTTGTGTTTTTGGATTTTTGGTGGGTGGCAGTTGGTTAGCCCTGGGGCATGGTTGACTGATATGTGCCAAGAGAGGTATGAAGTTAGAGAGAAGAAGAGTTCTAAGAAGGTATTGTTTTTCTTTTATTGCTTTTTTTTTCCTTTTTTTTTTTTTTTCTAGATCTGAATGATCTCAATCTCTCTCTCTCTGCCTGCACTCTCTTGCAGATTGATAATCTTTTTTTCTTGTGGATATTTTGTTTGTGTATGCTGAATACAGCAGAGACCAAGAGGATTGAAGGCCATGGGGAGTATGGAAAGTGATTCAGAATAAAATGCGTTGCGTTTTTAGAAGGAGAGGCTTATTCTTTTTTCCATTGAAAATTTTGGGATATTTTTTGGAGATCATGGCAAGGTGATGGCTAGAGTTTGTTAGAAAGAAGCAAGATAGAGAAATGTAGCAGTCTCTTTTCTGGGTTTGTTTGTTGCTTTTTTTGTTGTTATTATGTATAGCATAGAAGTAAATGAGAAAAGTAAATTTTCTCTTGTTTTACCATCCATTTCTTTTATTGAATTTGTCTCTACCAATTCCCTTATTTCGAGAATGATGTCAGGTACCCATTTTCTGTGTCCTGGGGAAAAGCGTTGCAATGAAGATTCCTTCCCTTCCCTAATTCCCATTCTATGTTAAATGGTCAAAAATAACTTTTTGTCAAATAAGATGGCTTTGCCGTTGCTTGGTGGTGTCTCGTGTGGAAGAAGCCTCGGCAACTTGTTTTCGGAAAATACTTTATATGAAAATATTATCTCCAAAAATGTGTAACTTCTTATTGTTTGGTGTTTAGTATTTATGAAAATAATTAAGTGTTCAAAAGGAAAAGATAGAAAGTTATTAATGATGGGATTTATGATTTAAAGACAGATTATCTCTTAAAGTATTGTCATCTAAGTTGATGTAAAACAAATCAGTACTTTAAGCCTTATGCAATGTCAGCAGTACGAGTGGGCAAATCCAGAATGCAACATTTTAGCTGCAGGAAGGTAAAATTTTTACGCGTATGTGATTAGTAGAGAGCTATGTGTTGGAAATGGTATAAATCTTTTACGAAGGAAGGAGGGAGAGGAGGGTATTCTATATAAATCATAAAATCTAACAAGCAAGAGATGACACATTCCAAATGTAGGTCATATTGTTCGTTAAATAGAGAAACGGTTGCAGAGATGCAAAGTCCTTTGAAATAGAATGGTTTGCCTTGGTATCTATTTAGAGATCCCACGTTTTGCCTGGGCATCATACACTTGTAGTTGTAGGGCAAAATGCTAGTTTGTAGTTTCTCATCAGTATTACTTTTTCTATTCAACTTCATTAGGTTATCATTATCAAAAAAAACATGCCATCTTTGTGAAATATCTCAGTTTTAATAAATGAGCATCATTATCATGCAAGGAGAGAAAAAGTGAAGAAACATGCTTTAGCATTCTTACCTTTTATCTTATCAACTTTCACATGACCTTTGCATCAAATAATTATTTTAACATCAAACGGTACTTTGTAATGAAAGGTCCATTGTACCCAAGAAGAAGCTATGACCCAGCATATTTTGTTTGGTTGCCATGCCATGAGTTTTGGATTCGTCCATTGAAATTGAGAAATGTGACATATGTAAGTGATGATCTAGGTCTGATGATGGTAAAGAGTCATACAAGTTCGTTTTGTACCGTATACCCGTAAAACAAATCCTTGTAATTGAGTGAGAATCTTACAACGATCATATCAATAGTTAAAAAGCGGCGAATTGGCATAAAGAGATTTTTTTTGTGCAAATATTTAATTATTTGTGTCCAATTTTGTAAAAAAGAAAGAGAATTGTATTGACAGTATTTTTTTGGAACAGTTTTTTGTGGTAGTTTGAGCTTTTATACGAGTTGTCTGGGTGCAAGTTACATAATGTAAATGACATAAAGTGTCTTTTTTCTTTCGACCCAGTTGATGAACCGATAAATATTGGTGTTCTACTGTAATTATATGATCTGCCACGATGTTGGTCTGATTACGATGAATGAGGATTTGATTGATTAGAGAATCTTTATTAATTACTTTGTTCTCTCCAGTGATAGTTGAAGAAAGCAGGTTTTTTTTTTTTTTTTCCTGGGCGAAGACGATCTATCAGGAATAGTAGGATTCTTGAACTTTTTCTGGGGACAAACTTCTTATAAAGGATAGATGCTCTTTAGAAGCTTTGGATCCATCTGATTGATTAGTTTCTTTTGACGAGACGCGTAGGCTATTTTGGATGTATCGGGGTTTTTTCGAAGTCGTTCTTATTTACTTTTTTTCACTTTCGGGCCCTGTTTATATCATCCATGGTGTCTTGCAAAAAAAAGTATGCAATTGATGACGTGTCTCTCATCCGGGCCTATTGTTTTTTACCTTGGTATACCAGGTTGCAATACGCCCGCCACAAAGTGTTTAAAAGAAAACTAGCAGGGGATGATTTCCACCGTCAGATGCAGAACAGTCCAGTCTCGAGAAAGAGAATGCTTTGATTCTAGAATTAGGCAGGAATATGCTATGCGACATCGAAGCCACGCATAAAACAAAACCAGATTTTTCAGATTTTGTTTTTTGCAGAAGTTTGGGAAAACTTAATTTCGAACGAAAATGATGCTAAATTGCATGTTCCATGGGGGACATCTAATCTGTTAATGCAATGTATTACAAGCTGCACTCCAAATGGTTTTTTCTTTTTATGAATAGGTCCATAGATTTTATTAATGAACCAGAGAATGAAAATTACTGCAAAATTACTTAACAGAAACCGGGAGGCGTCTAGGACAGCACCTTCCATTAAGAGGACGAAAGTATCCAAGCTGACAGGTTATACACTACACATTCAAAACATCCCAAAAGGTCCTCAAACAGAAGAAAGAAATGACGAAGATACTTGAAAAATATCCAGCAAACATCTATTCCAGCAATCTTTCCTCTGGATTTGGATGCTTTCCAAATGGTTATTATTCCGACTCTTTTTTTACAATACGTCCTTAAAATAACTGAAAAGTACGCAGTATATTCCTCTGGATTTGGATGCTTTCCAGAAACAATGCGTCCATCCAAATCAATTAAATGATCAGAAATGCACCGTTAAATCCTCGCATTAGCTTTCCAATGTCAGCATAAAGGAAAAGTTGTCTCACAAAGTACAGAACTGTCATGACACTGCATAAATTAATGTGATTAGAAAAACAAAAGAAGCTCAAGAGTCAAGAGCATGTATGGAGAATTAGATGTTGATAGAGTCCTCCAATAAAAGAACCATTTAGCTTCCATAAGAGATCATGAATTCTAATTCAAGAGTGGTCAAGTTGCAAAGGGAACTAGCTACAGAGCTTAGCATGAGGCTTACTAGTAATAGAAGAATCTATTTTTTCCAAAAATCAGACAGTTAAGAACTCTCCTCCCTTTCTCTCTTCTCCATCTCCAGGGAAAGGAATCGGAGTTTGAAAGTATGCCCTTCATAAACAGCTTACAACAAAGAGGGAGATATCAAAACGGTTGGAGGATTAATATGAGACAAAAGAGTCGGAGGAGGTGAAGAATAAATTCGAGTTTAAGACAAGTTGGAAATGTATCCTTAAAACAAGTTGGAAATGGTCGCACATGAGCAATACCATGACATTGAATCCAAGACTGTCCATGTCCAGCATATAAGCAGAGTCCCCTTGAAGAAAGATATGAAATCAGTCCTTGTAGTTTGTTTGGTATTTTCGTCAATTTTGAAGAAGGGAACGGACATGGAAACAGAAAAAGAGAAAGGGAGAGGCTAAATAAAATCTATTATGTAGTTTCCTTTCGTTGTTTTTGAAGGGAAAGCACAGATGAAACGAAAGAAACTATATATCAAGCATTTACAGCATATAATATAAGTGAAAGGAAATATCTTCCATTGCCTTCCCTCCCTTTCTTCCTCAGTAGATACAGTGTCACCAGGCTTATCAAACTTTCTCTCCCTTTCAAACACATATTAGTCTATTTATTCCATCTCTCAGCTAATTTTGAAGCCATAAAGCTAGTTCTGGTGACCTCCAACTAAAGTATCTACGGCAGTCTGGCTTTATCAGATAATGTTCTGACGTCCCTCTTCTAGCAAGACACAGAGAGTGCATAAGAAGCTATTTATGGTATTGAAAATTATCGGAACTGATGTTGAGTGTTGCACAATGAGTCTTGTATCTTCAGCAGGATCTCTGTCCGTGCGGGACTGACAAAACACAAGATTTTATTGAGAAGAGAAAAGAAGCTGAAGCTGTAATTAAAAAAGAAAGAAAGATATATCGTGCATATACAGCCTGTAATACACAAGCAATGCACCCCAATAGGTTTAGAAAACTGAGCGATTGGATCAACTTTGGCAGTCTGGTACTCTTCTTTGCTGAACTCTGTCATCATTATTGCAATTGAAATTAACAAATAAACTAAATCAAAGTAGGATGAATGTGGGAAAGAAAAATAACAACAGAAATTTTTTTGGAAGTTACTCAAAAGCATCGGTGCTTTTAAAAACTTAACAGTACAGCAGTAAAAGCATTGGTGAGCTCAAGTTCAGCAATCATTGGAGCATCAAACCCACTCTCATTGGCGCACTCGAAATGATTATTGATAAGGATTTACTTCAGTAAAGGAAAAGCTGGATGGTACTCAGACCTCCAGATCCGAGCAAAGTGGTTGCAACTCCTGACACTTATTGCACAACTTTTGGTTCAATGCGGATGAATTGGGAGTCACCAAATTCAACCTTGAAAGTGGCAGAAATTTAGTCATGTCCTTGACAAAGAGCGGTGAAAATGCATTAAGAAAAATATAAAGCATGCTAGAAAGTTAGAGGAAACAAGTTACCCAGAATGCATTGGGATGCTTTCCCCAATATGCTGTTCAAAACCTCGGATGGCCGTGCTCTGTTTCTCAGAAACTTAAGCAATTGATCAAAAAATTTATTTTCATATTGCTCCTAACAGTTACGATGCAGTGAAGACGCCATATCTGCCAACGTAAAAAATTACCAAGCAGAATCATTTACGAAACTCTACGTAAGGGGAAAAAAATAAAAAAGAGAGAGAGATGAGTACTAAGTAAGTCCTATTGTCAGGATCTCTTGAGACGAGCCATGAGCATTTAGGATTTGCTAACAGGTCGTGCAGAAAGCAGTTCGTTTTCAAACAATTATAGGACACCAGGACCCCGAAAAGACAATTTTTTTTTTAATCAAATCAAGAAAAAAGCTAAAATCATTAATAAAATCCTGCTTAAGAACATAATTTGGCAAGATAGTTCAGCTTAATCTAGTAGCTTCATAGCACACATGGATGCACTTCTGGAGGGCTGATACCAGTTGAAACCAAACCTGATCCGATTAATTAATTTTATGCACTGGACTCCTAGCTCTTAAAACATTCAGCAAGCTCCACAAACCTTAAAACATTCACCAAATTCTACAGCTTTATCAAATAAAAGATAGAGATACAAAAATTTAAAATGATTATCAATGAATGTGATAAAATATCTTATTATTTAAGTAAAGAGCATTAAATGGTCCATTATTATTACTGTGTATGATTTGTAAAATTTTTAAGCTCTTCGTGGCATCTTTACTAGTCTTGTTAGTTTGATTTTCCTTTATGCAATCTACTAAAACAAAATCAGTAAAATCAAGAGTATTTAAAATTCTATCATGCACAATTTTTTTAGTTCTTTCAATAAAGACGTGACCTAATCTCCTATGTCACAATAAAGAGGAATTCTCATCAATTTTGCTCTTTTTAATACCATTATTAATATGCATTGATAAATAGTTGAATTCAAAAGTACAGTCTAGATCAATTTTATATAAACCATCAATTAATGTTCTACAATCAATTGAAAATTTTATTTTCAAAATACTTGAAATGCTTTTATCAAACAAAAATTCATAGCCTATTACTACGAGTTTGGAAACTAAAATCGAATTTATAGAAAACGATGCTATATAAAAGACATTTTTCAAATCCAAAATGAAACCAAATTTTAAAATTAATATAAAAATTCTCATAACTTTAATTATACAGGTGCATCCGGTTTTCCGAATAAATACCTTTTTTATTTTCCTTTAGATCCTATGGATCTAGAAAGTCTCGAATGGTATTCACAGGTATAAATTATAGAACTATAATCACTCCATTATGTATTATTAAAAGTCTCAATGAAAAAATGATTCATGACACATTAAAAAGTTGAGTTTATCTTCTTCTTCTTCTTCTTTTTTTATGAACTATTTCTCATAGTTAGGGCAATCTTTCTTAACATGCCACCATTTTTTATAGAAAAAATATTTACTATTAACGCCATTTTACTTCATTGACACCTTTCTATATTTCTTCACTTTGATAACAATTTTGCCCTTCTTGGCATTTCATTTTGTTTGAGAAACCAAATGAGAATTTTTAGTTTCTCAAGTTTCAATCTCCTTTCTTTTTTCAACACAAAAGGTCAATAACTCATTAATTGATAATTTTTTATTATGTATATTATAAGAAATTTTAAATGGATCATATTCTGCAGAAAGAGAGAGAGAGAGTTTAAAACAAAATTAATAAAAAATGACTTAGAAGTCTTCTAAAGACTTTAATTGAACAATTGTGTGTCTCATTTTCAAATTATTTTTTTATGGCTTTCAAAAAATCTTTTATCTTAAAGCATTCAAAGATAGAACCCATAATAATTTTATTTATGTAAGATTTTATGAAGATTAAACTAAAGAATTTAGATAGTAGATCGTTCTCACCACTCATAATTAGTTTTTCTGAACATTATTTGAATCCGTAGAAATGGATGGTTAAAAACTATAAATCTTAACAAAATCTATATTTTCACTTTTGAATCAAATTAATAATTTTGTAAAATAAAAATAAGTAAATTATAATATACTCTTATAAGGTATTATAAAATTATAAATACCATTAAAAAATTAAAATTTTAACTAAAAAATATATTGATATTAAAAAAAAATTGAAACATGTTGCAATGCATTGAGACTAACGATGCGATTTAACATCATTAGCCTAAAAAAATAATAGAAGAACAAAATTAAGGCACAAAGATGGAACTTGAAAAAAAAAAAAAGAAGTTAAAAGACATTATAAATACAAAAGAAAGAGCAAAAAAATCCCCTACAATTAACCCATTTATATTTTATTTGGCTTCTGGAATCAATCGGGATCATGCTCTGTGTTACGGAAACCAAGCATAGAGCACAATCAATTCTGAAACTTATTTTCTGCACCAACAAGATGTTAATGGCAAATTTTATTTGGGAAATGGGGATAGTTCTTTATACAATGTACAACAGTACCAAAAAATAAAGAAAAAAAGTGTTGAGGCAGCTATACATTAACATTCTTACTTTACAAAGTTTCACAAAACTTTTTCATCAAACATTATTTTGACATCAAAATGTTCGACTTCAAATGGTTCTTATCGTAACCCTTTTCAATGGCACCTCTTCGAAAATAAGTGAAAAGTCAATCGTACACAAAAGGAACAAACCAAGAGCCAGCTGACTGTTTAGTTTGCAGCTATTATGTCAGTTTTTGTATGCATTCCAGAAACGTTGCATCTGTCCACTTCATTACATACGAGGCTCCACTTTCTGACGTACTGCGGAATCCTACAGAGACAAACAACAAAAGGACATCTCAGAAAAATAGTATAACCCACTGGGAATGATGACTTCCACACTATGCAATTCATAGCATATTGGAATCCTATGGTTAATGGCTTAATGCAATCTACAAGTTGATACAAGTTAACAACCAGACTGAATGATTTCAGTACTGGGAATGCATTGATTCTGAAATCATTTAGGATTGTGATGTGATACAGAAGAGAGAAAAAATCATCAACCTGGAACACTAAAAAAGTAAAATGAAATCTGTGCATATAATTTCAAATGTGCATGACATAAATCAACCTCAATGTTATTTAATATGAAGTGGAAAATGAAGCTTACAAAAATTCAAGATAGTAAACACAAAAAAAAAAAAGAAGCTCTTATTGATCCCCTCAAAAAACTGTATCTGTTGTTAATGTGCAATACAAGCACACAAAATGTTTATTAGATTTGTAATTAATTAAAAGACACATTGAGAACAAGACAAGGTTTTCATGCTCAAGGGTCAAATTTTCTCTCATTGCAGGTTAATCGGATAAAGAAACCTTTCCCTATATGTTCAGCATCGTATCAGTTAATTTGAGACTTTGCAGCTTGAAGCATTTCTACTATCAGAGTCTTCACATCCCTACAGAATACAACCAAACAAACATTTCAGAATTCAAAATCAAATAATGCAGTTAGACAGGAAGCAGATGTACTAATACATCTGTGATTTACAATATGAAAATGACACATGTTTGAAAGATTCTGTCATCAAGGAGGCCTGCTAAACCAGGGAAGAACATATAGCCCTGCATAATTTTATTGCAAAAGGATTTCAACAGAGGTGGGAGATGATGTCCCCTTCATATTTCCTGGTGACAGGGCATCAAAGCCAGTAAAAATTTATGAAGCAAAAGTTCAGTTTGCTGGTAGGCAGGGGTAGGTCTAATAACACGGCTAAGGATCAAACTTTAATCATGCACAAGAAGAACAAATGACCTGAAATATGCCAATCAAATCCTCAAATTAGTTTGGCCAATATCAACACAAGACACTCACACATACCCTTGCATGATTTAACAAAAAAAAAAAAAACGGGAATAAGAAGAAGCTGAAGAAGCCAATGTTGAAAAATCAACCTCACCAACCAAGAAAAAAAGGACTTGGTATAGAACTCTTACTTTCTCTCTTCTGCACGTCTAGGGAAAGGAATTCTAAGTTTGTAAGTATTTCCTTGATAAACAGCCTGCAAGAGAGATCAATACATTTTGAGAGTGAACTAGAGAGAGTCAGACAAAAAGTTGAGTTCAAGGTAAAATCTAATAACAAAGTAGCCTTGCAACAAACATCTCTCAAAAAAGTACCTTGAAAGTAAATGCAATTTTTAAGTACAAGTAGAGGCCTGTACATAGTCGCACATAAGCAATACCTTAACATTGAATCCAAGACTATCCACGTCCAGCATATAAGCAGAGTCCACCTGATAAACATTATGAAATCAGCCTAGATATCTTTTGCTCACTTTCGAAGGGAAAGGGGAAACAGAAGAGACTAGACAAAAGAATATTTTACAAAGTTTGTTTTCTTTTTTTCATCAAAAAATGAAAAAGTGATAGAGAGAGAAAAACAATCGTTGAGTTTAGATGCCATCCTAAAATATGCCTAAAAAGGTTATCCTTGAAGCAATGGAAAGGAAGGTTGATTCACTTTTCCCTCTTTAATTTTGGTCCAAAGAAATAAAAATTAAGGGAAACTAAATATCATGCTTATACTCATATACAGTGCAAAGGAAAGAGTTTGCATTGCCTTCCTGCTCTTTACTCCTCAGTAGCTAAAGTGCCCCGGTTATCAAGTCACTCTTCCTCACAAACACATCTTTTAGTTTATTCACTTCTTGTAGCCAGCTAATTTTGAAGCCATAAAACTAGTTTTCTGGATCTCCAACTAAATTAATTGTCATGGTCTGGCTTATAAATAATGTCCTGTCTAGCTTCTTACTTGATATAGACATAGATGCTATTTATGGTATTAAAAATTACCGGAATTGATGTTGAGTGTTGCACTATGAGTTTTGTATCTTCACCATGATCTCTGTTCATATGAGACTGACAAAGCCATATGATATCATTTAGAAGAGAAAGAAACTGAAATAATAAACAAGGCTATGTCATACATATACAGCATCTAATTTATAAGCAATATACCGCAACAGGTTTAGCAAACTGAGCAATTGGATCAACTTTAGCACTCTGGTACTCTTCTTTGCTGAATTCTGTCATCATTAACAATTATGAGTGAAAAATGAAATAAATTGAACTAAAATGACAGTGGAAAGAGTAACAGCACCATAAACAAATTTGTAAGAGGCACTAAAGCATGGGTGAGTCAGAAATAGTACTACAGTAAAGTAGCAAACCATTGGTGAGCTCCAGACCACCACTTTTGATTATCTAAACCCACTCCCAATGACTTGAAAAAATTATAGATAATGATGTACTTTGGAAATAGGAAAACCATCTAGATAGTGTACGCACCGCCAGATCCAAGCAAAGCAGTTGCAACTCCTGACACATATCGTACAACTTTTGGTTCAATGCGCAAAAATTGGAAATCGCCAAAGTCAACCTTGAAAATGGAAGAGATTATTAGTCCTTACTTTGACAAATAGCAATAAAAATATATTTGAGGAAAAAATGAAGCATGCTAGAAAGAGAGAGGAAACAAGTTACCCAGAATGCATCAGGATGCTTTGCCAGAAATGTGGTTCGAGCAGCAGTTATATCTTTCTCAGAAACCTAAACAATTGATCAAAACAAGTTCAAAACTCATATTGCAGCAAAAAAATTTGATTCAATGAAGGTACAATATCTGCTAAAGTGAAGATTAATAAGCAGAAACATTTAGGAAATTATCGCAGGGAAAAAAGAGAAAAAGTACTTACAGGAATGGCATCACCATGCAGGGTGATTACTAAATCAGTCCTATCTTCAGGATCTTTAGCAACAAGCAATGAGCATTTAGGATTGGCTAATAGGTCCTGCAGAAATCAGCAATTTTTCAAACATATAGGACACAGGACCTCCAAAAGAACAACAAATAGGTTGAAGAACAGAATTCGGCAAAGAGAATTCAGCTTAGTCTAGAGGCTCCATGGCACACATAGATGCAACAGGCAGAAGGCTGACACAGAAAATATTTAGAACTGAACATTATGAGATCAATCAATCTAGTTGGCCAGATTATAATTTCTCAAAAGCATTAAGCAAAAATCACTTTCGAGCTGACAGTTACCCAATAGGCTTCACAACTTTTACTGTACAAGAACATAAAAAATGATCTATGTGTAAGTTTACAATCTAAGATAACCACACCTGTAATTTTTCAGTGATAAATCTCTAAAATCTAAAGGTCACAATTGGATTTGTTCTTTATTTTAAAATCACATAAACAGTTTTCCAAATTAAATCTTATGTGAGCAAAACAGAAGGTAAATGGACCATACCTTAGTATGAACTGCCAAGCTGCTGACTGCTAATATTGGAGATCCATCAGCATCACAAGCAAAATCAACCAATGATCCTGATGGATAACCCTCAAGCTTCTGCCATATAAATTTAATCTTAGCAAGTCAGTGAATATATGAGAAAGTAGTCTAAGCAATGAATCTACAGTCCAATGAAAACCAGTTGCTGTCTTTTGCATGCCACTGATTTCAACATTCAGAACCTAATGAACTCAGTTTTTATAAGAGTTTACCTTATATTCACCTTATAGTTTATTGCAGAAGCTGTCTTTTCTAATATTTCAGAACAGCCAAAATATTGGACCTATAGACCTGAAAAACCCTATACCATGACCTTGACACAGTTAATGAACCTTCCCTCCAGTTCATGAAAAACCCTAAATTCAGAGAACTTTATGCAAGTAGTTGCTTGACATTTATGCTGTGAGTTTGAACAGAGAGTACAAAGGAAGCAGCCATATTACAAGATCCATTCTTAATTCACAAGTTTAAGCAAACAACAAATAATAACTAGTTATCCTTTTATAAATAGCAACTAGTTAAAGTTAAAGATGTTAACAAAAAGAAGTCTTTGAAACTTCTCTGATTATTCTCTAGGATAAGCAAATTGAAGGAAAATAATGAGTAAGGGCAGCTATTTTATTTAATTTTTCTCCTAAATCCACAAGGCAAGAAAACTTTATGAGCAATATCCACACTACAAGGCTCAGCAATAAACTAAAATTATCGAATTCAACTAAACCAAAACCAGTCTCAGATAGTTTCAGTCAGCTACATTCATTTTTTTTATCCTTTTTATTTTTCTTTAGGGCCAAACTTTTTATGAGTTATCATGGTACTAAATTCTTTGTTTTTACCGCTTGATTCTACCTTATTTTTGGTCTACTTTTCCCCTAATTCGATCACAATACTTTAAACAAATTACTTTTAAAATTGATATATCAGCATGTCAACATTGTACGATGCCAAACTAAATTAAAAGACTTTCACTTTTTATTATCAATTGGTATCATCTCCACCTTTCGTCTGAATGCACTCATTATTTTTATAATCCTAATAATATTATGATTTGTGCCATGATAAGGTTGTGACAAGGTTTACACCAGCTATTAACCTACCATGATCCTCCTCTTTGTCCTAATGTTGGATTGATAATATCAAATTAGATCATCAATATCAATTCCAACATCAATTCCAACACAAGCAGATGTAAGATACATATAACAAACAAATCAAACACGAAACTGAACTGATTCCCACTATGGACTTCAAACTCTCACCCTTTCACGAGAAATGTTAAATATAAAGCCATACTCTGCTGATAACAACCAAAAACAATCCTACACTTACATCACAAACGACAACCTTCAGTTGTACCAACTTCAAGGATCATGAAGGATTTAAACAAGCTCAAAATTTCAACCAGTACATGAACAACAAACCTGCGAAAAAGTTGAAAGCATGCCGCGCGTGCTCTGATTAAGCACAGTTCTAATTTCCTCAACAGGAGGAAGCCTAGCTGCCTTTTCCTATGATCAGACAAACACAAAACCAGTCAGTAGCATTCAAAACTATATGTTCGCATATGATCATAACTACCAATCCTGATATTATCACTAACATCGAAAGATTTACACATCATCCCAGAAAAAGCGGAAAAAAAAAGCGCGCGCGTACACACAACACAGATATAAAAGAAAGGCTACCTGGTGAGTTTGGATCAACTGGAACACATTGGCAGCAGGGTCAACATCCCCGGTTGACACAGCCTGATCAAAATAACAACAAAACAACTTATTAATTAAAAGCCCATTAATCAAAAACTGTTAAAAGTCAACTTTCTACCCTGTAAAGCTTTCAAAGCTTACACTAACAAATATAGAATCCCAAAAACAAATAACCCATTAAGCAATTCATAAAAATGAACGATTTTTAGTATCAAGGAAAAGTGTTTCACTTCACCTGAGTGGAAGACTGAGCAGCAGAAGCCATGGAAGGAGAGCGAGGTCGATGATGACGATGATGATGAGAGACAGACGAGTGGCAAAATGGTAATAAGATGGAACAGAAATTTACTTTACTGGCATTTATTGAGGGGGAAAATAGAAGGGACGTGCAGGGAATGGCCATGGTCTTCATTGCCACGCACCGCAAGCAAGCCAACACCCAACAACCACAGGGACTTTATTATTAAAAAAAATCAATTGATTATTCCTATATTTTTTTTATTTGGAGGGGGCTACGGTTTGAAAATGGAAGAGAGAGAGGAAAATAGATGAGCTAAGCTAAGGTAGGAGGTGGTTAAGCTGCTTGCTGCTTCGGTGGCATGCAGTGGTGGAACTATATTTGTCAATTCCATGGCCAAAAGTTAAATTGAAGGAGGGATGTAAAAGAAAGTTGAACCCATGTAATGGGTTATATAGGTAGAATACAAAATTTAAGGGACCATTAAGGTATTTTCTGAAATCAATCTTGGCTCCTTGGGATTTGGGAATTGGGATGCGAACGCCATTGATGTTGGACAAACTACAACTCAGTCCCTCAATTATGATGAAAATTTCTAATCCGGTCTTGTTCATTTCCACGAATTACTTCTCTAGATAATCTTACATTTAAGATATGAGGAGCAATGGCAAAAAATGGATTTTATGGTAATAGTAATCAGGCTACTAGCGAGTATGGAGGCAATAGGTGGTCGTTGACGCTTGGGTTTGAGGATCACCGATAATGTTTAAATAGATGCTCATGCGACATTTACCAAGTCGATTCCTTGCGAGTATGTGCTTACTTACGGAACTATATTGATATTTTGTCCCCTCGTACCTCTTTTTTCTTCTACGAGAGCTTTGGTCGAAGGATTCTTTGTTGTGATAATGAGAATGACTTCCTTATGGTCGTAGAGAACAATGATTTTCCCTTCTTTTGCTCCTAGCTTTATTATGCTTTTTCACCTTTTTCTCAACGGGATGTCCGATGGGTATGGTTTGGCAAAAAAAAAAAAAAAAAAGATAAAGGGTCTTTCATGTGTGGCATAACCGATGGTGGCATGAAGGTCTTTGAAGACGAGAACAATTGTTGTTGATTTTAAGGCATCGAAGAGGGTGTAATAAAGGCCTTTATTTGCTTCGATGGTAGCATGATAACCACTTTTGTCAATGCTTGAACTTACTTTTGTAGCTAGAGAACATCCACTAGTGGATTGCTTAAATTGGCAAAGTCTACGAAGTAGCACGACCTAGTATCTTCTAGTTTTTAACCATAAAAAAAGGCTTGATGGAGAAGAAAAGAGGAGTTTCCACGGACGTTCAACGATGAGGTGATGATTCTCGGATATTTAATAATAACAAGGTGGCTTCGCACCCGTCCGAATAAGTGGTGATTCTACCGTAGTAGAGAAAAGTTTGATGGCTTTGTGTACCGAGCATAATAATTCCTTATTTGGAGGTTGGAGGGCCATCCGATAACTAAATTAGTCTATAGAGAGAGGAGATGTCCGAATAAATTCTAGTGTTTGTTCGTTCTTTACAAAAAAATGATAAATAGTATATTCATCAATTAGAGATGCGAGAAAAGCAAAATCATTAACATTTGGCTTACGACGCCTCTATACAATGGAGGGTTTTAAGCTAGTTTCATAGAGAGGATGGTAAAAAGCTACCAATATCTTCCGACGTCCACACGAGGAATTAAGGTATTTTTTTACAATGACACATGTTCGACAACACCGAGCACGATTGTGGTTGGTATAAATTTGACATGAGTAATTTAAGAATCCTGCTTTCATTATCAAACATACGAAGGTTCTTAAATATAATTATAAACCGAGTGATGATAGTTATTATAAAGCCTAAAGTAAAAGGGGATAATCTTGTTGAAATTGCTAAGAAATTGAAGTATTCCAACTTCATGCATCATAACCCTATTAATAAGCATATATGGTTGATGTGGAGGGATGTTAATTATGTAAGTCTCTTTTATGGAGGCCGAGTAACCGGTTTATTATAGTGTCGGTTTAATGTTATGATTGACCATCTAATATATGTTCATTTGTCTATGCAAAGTGTTCTAGAGTGGAGAGAGAAGACTTTTGGATTGATCTTACCAATTTTGCATCTAAGGTTCAATAACCTTGATTGGTTGGAGGTGACTTCGATGTAATTTCGGAGGTCGTAGATAAGTTGGGTGGCTTCGGTATAGACTTTTCTAGTATGTTCGATTTTAATACATTTTGTAGATAAAATAAGGTCGAGGATGTAGGGTGATCGGAGCGGTTGTTATACTTGGTGTAATAATTAAAAGGGAAGCCATTGTGTTTTGGAGAGGCTGCGTAGAGTCTTAGTGAATGAAAAATTTTAGGTTGCATCGCCGACTCTTTTGGTAACTTACTTGGTGAGAAATTTTTCAGATCATTCGCCCCTAATATTAGAATTTTAGCAGAAGCAAGTTGGGTCCTTTATTTTTTCATTTTTAGAAGATATGGTTGGATAACTCATAGACTTTTTGAATTTTGTTTCAACAAAGGGGAACACTAGTTTTATCGGTACTCGTTGTATATTTTGCTACAAAAACTTTTTCATCCGAGGAGTGGGTTAAAGGTCCGGAGTTGTCATGTTTTTGGTGATGTTCATAGAAGGATTGAGGCGATTCGAGATGATGTTCTTAGATAGAGGACCGGTTGGAAGCACGATGGGATGAAGTTGTGGTCGTCAAGATGTGTGATGTCAAGACTCTTTTGAATCAATTAGTGGGTTGGAAGGCTTGTGTTTTTTAACATCGACAACATGTGAAATGAATATCCGATGGTGACCGGGATACGATTTTTTTTCATGAGTGTATCATGGATAACGCTAAAACATGTAGCTTTTAAATTGAAGAGAGCCGATGGTTCTTTCATGAAGTAAATTATAAATTAGTCCCTCTAGTTTCAAGAAATAAATTAATTAGTCTTTAACGATTATTTAATCTTTTAATCGAGTGTTAATCATGTTTAATTTAATATTATTTTTATTTTATAAAATCTCTTATTTTCTTATCAATCCTTTTATACTTTTTATATTTTTTAAAAATAAATTAAAAATGAGTAAAAAGGACTACATTACAAGTGAATTTAAAAAAATGAAGATCTGAATAATTATTTTTTGAAATGAGAGGGATTAATTAATTTGTTTCTCAAAATGAGAAGGACTAATTTACAATGTACTCTTCTTTCATTGCCCAACCAACGAAGATTGGGGTCGTCGCTTCGATTATTTTAGTTTTTTGTTTTCGATGGGTAGAGTGGTTCAACATGATTCTTTGTTTGAAGAAGTCATGTCATAGATCTTAGATGAACAAAATCAGAATTTATCTAAGCTTTTAGTCGATGAGGAGATATAGCTTGCGATTAAAGGCTTAAATCATGATATTGCTTCGGCTATGGATGGGTTTACATGTTATTTTTTTCAAGGGGGCGTGGATTGTGACGAGGAGGAGATGTCTATATTGCAACTTGCGACTTCTTTAGAGGTGCCTATCTCCCAAAAGGTATGGCTTCTACAATGTTTATCTTTATTCCGAAGTGCCTAATCCTACGGCTCTTTCGGATTTGCGGTCGATAAGTCTTGCTAATTTTGTGAATACATTTATATCCAAAAAAATTTCTAATAGGCTAGCCTTTTTGCTTGCTAGTATAATTTCTCTTGACAAATAGGTATTTGTTAAAGGTAGAAGTATTACGAAGAATATTGTGTTTGCTCAAGAGATGTTAACGGGGTTGAATATGAAAGTTAGGAGTCATAATTTAATTTTTAAGCTTCATATGTCTAAAGCGTATGATTGAGTAGAGTGGTACGTGCTTTTGCGGACTTTAAAAGCTTTTGGTTTTAGTCACTTGGTGGTGTGACTTGGGTGTATATGTGTGTTAGTGATGTATGGTATACTTGGAATTTAAAGAACAAACCGTCGGTACTTTCGATCTGCTAGAGGAGTTAGACAAGAGGACCCTCTTTCACCATTGTTATTCATATTGGTTCGGCAAATATTATCTTTTAATATTCGGAGAGAGAGGTGAATAGGGGTAATTTGAATCCATATCATGTGGGTAGGGGAGGTTATCTTATTTTCCATCTTTTATATGCTAATGATATGTTGGTGTATACTAAGGGAGATAAAAGAACTCGTTAAGCTGTAAACATCTTCAAATAGATATAAAAAAGTCTCTCATCAATCTATTAATATTTTAAAGAGTGGTTCTTGTAAAATTGTAAACATATAAAGAGGCCTTTGGTCGTTCTATTAATATTTTAAAGAGTGGTTTCTATGCTCCTTAGTTTGTTACTAGGGAGAGAGTAGGGTAGATAAAAGAATGAATAGAGTCGTTCTCATTTTCAATTCATTTCAATTCGAAGGGTTCTACGAATCGTATAGAGAAGATTATAGTAGAGTTTTTGTGTAGTGCGGATGGTGATCTTAGAACTTATTGGATAGCTTGGAACAAGGTGCGTAGGCTCGGTTGTAGAAGGTGGATTAGGCTTTAGATAGTTGGACCGAGTTATGGAATCTCTACAAGCTAAGTTAGTTTGGTCTTACCTTGAGGTTGTGGTCTTTGGGCAAAAGTGATTATGGCTAAATATGGGCATCCTCGGTTGGTTAGTAGTTTATCTATTTGGCCGGGGTCTTCTCACACTTATAGATTTATTGTTCGAGCTTATGGAGGATGTAATGGATTGTAGCTCTTGGGTTGTGGGTAAAGGTGATTTAGGTTTTTGGACTACAAGCTGGTGTGATACTATGCTTTAACCTCCTTTACCTTTGGATTCTAAGCTTTCGATCGGGAAAGTTTTCATTAATAGAGAGGAGTTAATGGACTTCATTCTTTCTAATAGGCAAAAAATGGCGAGGGAGATTCAATTGGATGAAGCTGTAGAGAATAGATTGGTCTTTACTTTGAATTGTATAGGTGAATTTAAGCATAAGGATTTACGGAATCGGATGAGGGATAGATTCCCAACGGTGGCATAGGCTAAGAAAGTTTAGGCATCGTAGGTTTACGGTAGGATTGGTGCTTTCATGTGGAAACTAATTAATAATGATGTTCCAACCGATTATCGTATTCGTAGTAAGAGGATTTAAATTGCATCAAAATGTCATTATTATGTCGTGGGTCATGAGGAACATATTAATCATTTGTTTTTAGATTCGAGAGATAGCTTGGTATGTTTGATCTCATTTCGGTGGTATGTTTTACAAAAAGGGTTGGTATGTATCGATTCATGATACTGTTTAGTGTTTGGCTCGAGCCTACTTGGTCTCAAGCAAGCATGGCATGAGTGGGTTTATGTTTTTCGGTCTTTAGGAAATATGAAAATGTCATTGCACTTGCTCGGTTTAAAGATCTTTCTATGTCGACGGCTTTAATAATTCAACGAGTTAGGAGGCATCTTTTGGATGCTAGTTTGGTGTTCAAGCCGAAATGTAGGGTCGCTATCACATGGATGTTGTACTTGTCGACACTCTAGGTCCCTTTGAGGAGGGGTAAATTATTATGCTTGGGTTATGCCTTCGAGGGTTTTGTGAAACTAAACACGGATATGGGTCTATTGTGGATGTGAGTGTACATGAGGGGGTATTATTAGAGGGAGTGACGGTAAGGTAATTCCTTGTTTTTTCTAACTACTATGGCGCATGTACCAATGTAAAAGAAGAAATACGTGCCCATCGTGATGGTTTGGAATTGTGTCGGGATTTGTTTTTGCGGAATGTTTTGGTGGAATCCGATTCAAAAGTTGCGAGTTAAAGCTCTTGATGATGAAATGCATATTGCATGGCATTACACCTATTTGTTACGACATCGTCGGACTTTGCAAGAATCTCATGTGATTTTCCATGTGCTAAGGGAATAAAATTCAGATTCGTTGATAGGCTAGCTAGCATAGCTCACATTCATAGAAGTAGGATTATATACCACAATTAGATGGACCTTCCTCCGGAGATTCAATCTATTGTAACTTATGATAGGCGTGGTATATATAATTATATGAATTAATTATTGAGTATGATTTAAGGTTTAGGCTTCTTTGTCCCTCTCTTGTAGGGTCGGATCGATTTTTCCTCCGTTGTATTATTTTATTTATTATTAATAAAATTTATCAGAATACTGACTATGTTTCTTAAAAAAAAAAAAAAAGATTATCCAACTGGACATCGTAGAGCTATGTCCGTTTATGGTGATCATTGGAAAATAGTCAGAATCTCATGATTTTATTCGACACAGAACCTCTACTTAGAGCTATAAGGCCTTGTGATGGCGCATGTCACACGAACTTATCGATTTGGATTGGGTAACATCCAAAATCCTAATGCAATTCTTTATCTATGTAGACACGTGTGTGTGATGCTAGAAATGCTTTGAGTTCTTTACTAAATAATATAACAATATGTAATAATTGTGCATAAATTCAAGAATAATGCAAAGGATACATATATTTGTTTGTTAAATGATGTGCGTTTTTTTTAATGATAAATATATTATTAGTTAAATAATTATTACTTTTATAGTTATAATAACGGCATCAAATATGGTAAAATCCAAATTATATAATTTTTAAAATATTCTTATAAGATTTTAAAAAAAGAAGAAAAAATATCTTATATGACATATGCCATTAATTTACTACATATATTTAATAAAAAAAATCCTTAATGTTACTCTTTAATTCAACTATATTAGTATATAATATATTAAGGAATTTTCTTACTAAGTTTTATAATTAAGCGATATGGCATGTTGATTAAGGAGTGCGGCATCACCATTGTTGAATTCATGATGCAATTTCAATGAGCTTCTATCTCTTAAGTGGCAGGATCTTTTCAAAGCGTCATCTTATATAAAATACTGAATTTATTTACATCTTAAATAAAAGAAGGCCGAAGTTAACTCCATATCTTTAATGTGGTGGGGAGATTAATCTTCATATCATATGAATTGTTTGAATTATCCTTATTTTATCATATAGACCATTATTACACAATTCACTTTTATTTTTTAAATACATGTTTCTTTTTAATTAATATGATTCTATCTTTATGCTTATTAAATTAAGTGCTGATTAATTTTTTTAAATCTAAGTCTTGTTATCAAAAATAACTCCCAACTAATTGAAAAAAAAAAGAGTTATTTCTTATTTTTATTTATTTTTATAATACTATATGAGTTATTTGGATGAATCTAAAATGAAAATTTAAAAGTATATCTCATCATATCTAAGATTTATTTATTTATCTTGTCTTTAAAATCCTAGCAATAGTCAATTCAATAACTAAGATTTTTTCATTCATTGGAGGAGAAAAAATATATTTTTATTGATTATATTTAAAAGAAAACAAACGTTTAATAGATTTGTGGCTTTAAACAAGTCATTATGAGTTATGACGCATCATAATAATAATGAGATTTGGATTAAGCAAAAAAGTTACTGTATAGGTCAACTTTCTGCTGCACGTTTATGACTACTCATAAATTCCAGGTCAGCTCCACTAAATTTTATTGGGACCCACTTTCATGGAAAATGCAAAGAATGCAATTGCTATAACTGTTGCCTCACATAGAAGGCAGACCTGTCCAGATTCATCACAGGGCTTCCAATTTTTAACATTTTCTTGTTGAGTTTTTCGTTCTCATTATGATGACAGGCCACTTTGTCTTGTAAAAATATGGTAATTCTATCAAAATCTTTCTCAAATCACTTCCTCATATTCAAAATTATTGAATCGTGGAAGTCCTTGTTGGAACCGATTCATTCCGCAAGTGATTTTTTTTATTATTATTTACAAATAAGCTTATAAATATATCAATTTTTATATATTTGGAGATTAATTTTTTAAAAATATTATTAAAAGATATTTTTTAATATATAATTTTAAAAATAAATTCTTAAAAATATTAGTAAGTGGCTGATAGTTATTATTCATCAAACATCTATCTTGTTATGGGCGATTCCAATAAATCATTTTTATCATTTAACTTATCCCATAAATTTCGATAAATGATATTTTTTAGGAGTGTTTTAGAAAGAATCTTGGGTCAAATTGGAGAAAATAATGGTTAATTATTAATAGCACGAACTCTCATCATCTAAAACACTCCATCGGCTAAAAATTAAAATCACCAACTTCAAGAACATAAACAATTTTCTTCAAAAGAGAATATTTTCTTGCTGAAGAAGGATGTTATCCCCAATAATGGTTACATACCTTTTGCTACCCAACTAATTCAGTAAATTCAAGTCTATTTCATATTTCTAGTGCTTTTAATAAAAGGCAAGAACTTAAAAATTTCAATCATCCGTTTGGTATGATTGCCAATTCTTAATTTCTTTTTTATTTCTGTTCTTAAGATTTTAAAAACAGCTTTAAAAATAAAAATAATGGTAAAGTAAATAATAACCAAAATTTTTTTAAAAAAAGATGATAAAACTTGGTATGACTATTGGAAATCTTAAAATCAGCTTTTGAAAAATAGAAAATGGGAATAATACCAAAGGACCGTTTATTTATAGACTCTACTAACGGGCTCATCCAACGGCAATTATTATTTTAAAAAAATTATTTAAAAATTAACATTATTTACGAGGAAAATATTAATATTGGTCGTTTTAGATCATATTGTTAGTCTTGAAATAATGAAAAATAAAAATGATATTTTGTTGTGAAAAAAAGGGGCAATATAGTACCTTAAAGATAACTAAATTAATATTTTACTTTAGTTTTTTTTTCTTGGTTTTGTTGATAAGGTTATATCCTCTACAAATTTTTACACAATGAAATTAAAATCCATTTTCCTCAAAAGCAAATCGTCCATTCATTCTTAAAAAAATTATTTTCATGATTTGTTTTGAAACATAACTTCTTCTTGTAAAAGATAAAACTATATAAGAAACATGACATGAGCTTCATACAAAAAACAAACATATTTCATCAATTCAATTTACACATGACTTATTCTCGTAATTTTAAAATTCTTAGGTAAATTGGGAAAAAAAAAAAAAAAGAAGCCCTTTAAATTTAAATTTTATTCTTAAAAAAAAAAGGGACGTTTGTTCTTTTTCAAGGTTGTTTCCTTGTCCGTAAATGCTACTATAACTGAAACAACAGGGATCGCACACATGCTCTCAGATAAGCCTCGTTCAGTCCGTCTCTTTCGGCCACCCTCCTCTCTTGAATTGAGACACACACACACTCTCTCTCTCTTATGAAAGAAGAAGGCCAAAACACAATACAAGGACGTTAAAAGGGTCTCTCAGTTTCAGGTATTTATTTACACTTTCTCTGAAATTTGTTTCATGTGATGTGAACTGGTGATTTTTTGTTTCTCTTTCTACATGGGCTTTCCAAGAAACTTAGTTGTAATGTACATTTTCTGTTCATAATTAGTTTCAATGATCACCTTCATTGTTATGATGCATGATACTATGGTGTACAGCTCTTTAAGAAAAGACTAAATCTTTATGTAGGAGCTCTTTTTTGAATATTATTAGGATTCTCTCATGATCCTGCTTGTTAATGGGTTTTGCTAGGCTGTGGAAAATATTTGGAAAAAATTCCATCTTCATCCATTTGAAATTTTCATTTTTCTCTTTCTCTCTCTCTATATATAGATATATGAGATGTGGATTGTTTTAGTTTCTTTTCTCTAGAATTGTAGCATGCATGAACAAATCAGAATACGAGGAAGAAAAAGGAACACGCTAAGAAATAGAATGTACAAAGAAAATCGACTCAAGAAAGAATTCAGCAGTTTTATAAATTTTAATTCGCAGTAGAAGCATCTCTTCATAGGTTTTCTTTGAAGCATGTCATTGGATTTGTGGTTCTTACGTGTAATTTTGTTCATTCTCAAAGAAAATTTATGATTGCACATCTTGCTTGGTTCATTGGTTGTTGATTTCCTTGTCTAATTGCAGAAAGTGAACTGAAGAATAAGATTTGCAATGTCTTCTTTGGGGAATTCGAACAATATATTTTGGCAAGAATGTCCTGTCGGGAAGTTGGAAAGGCAGAAACTACTTAACCAGAAGGGCTGTGTTGTATGGATTACAGGTCTCAGTGGATCAGGTTTGTTGTGAAACTGAATTTTTTATTATTTTTGTGCATCAATCATCACTTAGGCGGATGTTGAGAACGAGAATCAGTATTCTGCTTTCAGCACATGCTGCTCTGTTCACTATGATGTTATTACCCTCTAAAGAAATCTCTTTTGCAAAGTACTATCAACTTTTGGAATCCAAATTGGTGTAAGCATCATAGAAGTTGTCCTACATGGAACGAGTAGTTTAATCAGTTTCAAACCTAAACTGGATGCTGGCTTGTAATCCTAGGTATCAGTGTATGCTGGACTACAATCATATGGATTTGATGAATTTCCATACCCTCTTATACTGTTATTTGCTTCGTCAAATTTTCAGGGAAAAGCACGCTGGCATTTTCACTAAATAGACAACTGTATTCTAGGGGGAAGCTGTCCTATGTTCTTGATGGCGATAACCTTAGGCATGGGCTCAACAAGAATCTTGGTTTCAGTGCTGAAGATCGAACTGAAAATATAAGGAGGGTTGGTAAGTATGATTTCTAAATGAAGCAGTATTATTGGAGTTGAGTTAGCGACCATGGGAGTTAATTTTGTATTGATAGATGCTTCATCTTCTCCAAGTTAAAGAACAAACGAGTACAATGGGATTGGACATGGTATGTATATTTTTGTAATCAACAGAAGTTGGATATGGCTTTCTGATGGCATTGATCTACGATTTGTTGAAAGTGTTAGTGATAAAACAAGCCATCTCATTCCAGTGTTGGAATAATCCAGAAGATGTTCATTATTAGTAGTAAATTAGTCATAACATCAGCTTTTGACAGGATCTTGTTTAGCATTCTTGTTCTTTGGTTCCATCCGTTATAGCAACTCCAATTGCCATATGCCAGATGGGTTCTTTAGGGAAGTCTTTGAGGAAGCTGTTAGTAGCTCCAAGCCTCCAAGTCTTCTTTTGCTAATTATTGTATTCCAACTTCTGGTCATGGTAGAACTGCAAGAGAGTACTTAGATTTAAAACATGCTAAGAAAATCGACATGCAATTTCTAAACTTTTGCAGCTTTGCAGCAAGTTATTTAAATTTCATAATTCCTTGTAAGCAGAAGTATAAGGTCATGGTCAACTTTCAGCTCCAAAACTCGTGCATAAACAAACTATTAGCATCTCTTGCATATTTGAGCTACTGATAAACATTGTATCCGTAATGAAAATAAAGAAATTATACTAAAGGTTGTTAACTTCAACTTTGGTTTACATTTTTTTTTCGTTTTATTTATCACTTATCCTGCATCTGTTTCATCTAGGGGAGGTGGCAAAGCTCTTTGCAGATGCTGGTACGATATGCATTGCTAGTCTGATATCACCATACAGAAAAGACCGGGATGCTTGCCGTGCAATGTTGCCAGATTCAAATTTTATTGAGGCAAGTTTTCTCATGAAGGCAGTTATGAGACAGCTCAATTTTTCCTAGATATGGAATGCTGATTACTTGTATCTGTACAGGTTTTCATGAACACTCCTCTATCATTGTGCGAGTCAAGAGATCCTAAAGGCCTTTACAAGCTTGCACGTGCTGGAAAGATCAAAGGTGTGCTTTTGAAAATTAGCTGCATCTTTAATATGTTGAGCAATGAGCAGTCCCCCTGACAGTGAAATCATCTGCACCTACTTAATGAAGGGAAAAAACTATAAGATGTGTAATAATAGATGTAATAATGACCTAGAAAATGCTTCCAAGATACCACTTAAAAAATAAAGAAGAAACAAAGAATAATTTCAGACATGCTTCGGTGAGTAACTCTGATGTTGGTGTGGATTAAGACCCCCTTTTCACTTCTTTAGAAGTTTCTGAAGATCGGCACTCTGAGTACAGAAGATATTTTTGGTTAATCAAAGGGATAAATTAATGCATGTAAATAAGAAAAAAAGATAAATAAAAATAAAAGTGGTTCCGCAATCTCGAGCCTCGATACATTTTTTGTAATCAAGACTTTTGAACAAGAAACTATAAATTGATTGCTTGCATAAATCGAAAAAGAATTCCTTACCATCCCCTGCTATTATGCATTTCATTCCATAATTAATACATTTTTTTCCAGATGGCTGAATGGACCAGCCAAACCTTGTCCTCAGCCACCCCTTAGTCCTTTAAAAGTGACCATGTTTAAATTGCAGGTTTTACTGGCATAGATGATCCATACGAACCACCTTTGCACTGTGAGGTATGTTTTTAGATAATTAAGCTTTTTTATGTGCTCATAGAGATCTTTGATGTTTTTCCTTATGTCCAATGTCCAAAGTCTGCATAACTGAGTGATCATTTTCCAATCCTACCTGTGCAGATAGAATTACAACAGATAGATGAAGCCTGCCCCGCACCAACTGTTATGGCTGAGCAAGTAATGTCGTACTTGGAAGAGAAAGGATTTCTGCAAGATCAGTGATAGACTCCACCAATTCTGTTCTGTCGGGGTCATATCGCTTCACTCTCAAATCGAGGATTTCGTCCAAATAATAACTTGACCAGTCTTTATCTGCATCAACACCTCCTGGCTATCCATATGGCTTTGGACAGTCTCTAACTGAATGATTTTGAATTTATTTTGGTTTTCTAGATTGATAGTGCTTAGAGAACCTGGCAGGATGTTGTTGAATCTGTACACTGTGTCTTCAGGTTCATACCCAACCATTACCGTAGCCAAAATTTTCTTTCAGATTTTTGGTCATCCCAAATAGCGTCAACTTATATGGTTAAGAAAATAATTATCATGCAGTTTATAAATACAAATTGTTCCAGAACCAAAGGTTCATTATATTTCCATGTACTTTATTTAAGTTTCTGAATTCCAATTAACTTCACTTGGATACCCATTTATCCATTGTGTTGGACAGAACTCACAGTTGATGTGTATGAACAAATGGCAGTTCTAATTTATAAGGAATGAATGAGATGCATTCCATGAGTGCATGTCATGGAATGCATCTCATCAGGTTGCATGATACAGAATGAATCAAACACTTGATAGTTGTGAATTGAGCAGCTTATGCATGAACAAGAAGACACTGACATTTGAGCTTAGCTAGAATATTTAGATTGGGAAGACCAGATTTGTCGAATGAAGCTGGCTCTCTACCTGCTTTCTATGTTCAATCCACAAGAAACACCGAGCCAAAACATTTCAAAATTATGAGTGACACAGAAAAAGATTTAGAAAGGACTTGTTAGTGTCGGCTTAGGTTGTTCAAGACTTTTGGGTCAAAGCCCAGGCAAGGATTACCAAGCCCAAGGAATAGCATTCCCACTTGAAAGAAACCATGCATTACGACATCGTTTCTGTCTCCATGAAATAGATAGGGACCAAAGGTCCAAAACTTCATTTTCTTCCTTTCTAGACACCCTAACATAACACCCACAATCCGCAGAAAACACCAAAGACAAAACACAGGGGAATTCTGCAAGAGACAGGAGGGATACAGAGATGGTTCTAAACAGCAATCTGATGTTGACAGTAGCGAACGTATCAGCAAATTTGTGCCAATACATAGCGTGCAACCCAGAACGTTTAAGCAGCGACCAAGTTCTGCATCTCCTCTTTTGTCTCCCTCTTCGTCACTTTGGCCGTATTGCTCTCTCTTGCTGGACCTATCTTTGCTACAACCCCAGACCAGCCAATCTGCCTGACTCTGATTCTGATTCAGATAACGATTCCCACTCGGATTGATGAATTATTGTATCATTTTTCTTACAATACCCATCTCTTATCTTGTACTTGTATATCTGGGATTTGCATTTATTGGCCACAATAATGAAAATAGTTATGTGTAATATAGTTTTGATTGCCAAGGCCTGATGATGGATTTTATTGGTTTCAATCTTGAAGTATGTGTGTTTTTTTATCTGACCATTTTTATTTTTATTTTTTCCAATGCTGATGGTGAATTTTATTGGTTTCAATCTTGAATTATTATTATTATTATTTTATCTGACCATTTTTTATGTGTGTGTGTATATATATATATATATATATATATATTTTTTCTTGGTTTGCTTTTTACTTGTAACAAATCCAAGAAATAAAGGAATAATACTTCAAAATAAAATGAACTTACTGGTGTGAAAAATGGAACTCTAAAGTTGAGAATAATAATAGAGGGTAACTGCTATTCTTTTTCCAAACTTGAACGAAAACTGCTAATTGGATGGGCAATGTATCCATAGAGAACTTTAGAGCAAAGTTTCACGTTGTTGGCCATTAAAAAATGTATCCAATTATGATTAGAGTAGACTCGATTTTGGTATTATAGAAATCTTTGCACCTTCGATAAAATTAGAATATGATTAGAATAAATCCCTTGCTCCTTTTCTTTCTTTCAGGTGGCTGTCGCTATTCAAGAGAAAAAATACATACGTTTGTAAAATGGATTTCTACGCAAGAGAAGTCGAATAAATATGCAAAATGGAGGGTGGATTTTATTGTATTCCTATTGTTAAATATAATTTACTTGCTGACCAGTATTCATTCCATCCCTTGCTCAATCCGTAGAAGGAAATTTGCCTCATGAAGCGGCAGCACAGTACGCACAACTGTCAAAAACAATGGTTGATCCAATTTCCATTACACACTCAGTTGCAACCTCCAAAAATTCAGCTGCAACTCTCAATCCTACAAACCTATTAACTCAAGGAAACATTACTCCCTTCAATGGAAATCTAATTTCTCTTAATGCCTCATCACAAATCCCACTCAAACTCTCAAGTGGCCAATCTCCGATTTGGTTATGGCTTGCTCGGGTATGTTGACGACACTCTATCTTGTCCACTCAACATATATCCAAGTCTTTTTTTTTGTTTTTTTGGCTCCGTCAAGACCATCAGGTGCTCTTGGGAATTCAACTAGCTAAACTCTGAAGGAAAAAAAACCCAATTCAGCATCTGCGCTCGATCCATGCATCAATATGAAAAAATAGATAAAAGGATCAATTGGCATACCATATCCGATGAATAATCCAGCCACCACAACCAGCTTCAAAAGGAAATTAGCTGACCGGCATGGATTTTCCTAAAGATGGGTTGCATAGAAAGCAGAGGGATTTTTATACTGACCTGAGAATGCAGTCGAAGGTGAGCAATAGAATTCACAGAGATAGTTAGCAACTAATTAAACACCAAAACAACTGAATTTTGCAACAGAAACGTTGCAAAATAGACACTAGCCAGTATCCAAAGGGGAGCTAAAATAATACTAGCTAACATATGATATGGCGATTCCTTGATTCCTAAAGAAGCAAAAGCAGTAATTTCAAAATTTTGCTTTGAGTGTCAAATTTTTACCTTATGAACAGCCATAGCCCTGTGGTAATGTCTTTTTGAAATGCCATGAACAACGACCTAATGCAGATTATTCATGAACATGTGACACCATATTTTTATCAAAATAACAACCAACTCTTTTGGTTCCAATTTTTCTTTTGGTGTACGAAGAGTATAGACGCAAGTCTGGTATATATAGACGCAGAAAAGGATTCAAATCAATATCAGTATTTTGTGTTTACAGTATTCCCTTGCATTATTTTGGGAGATTTTGTTATTAAATTTTCTCAGATTTTCATGAATATTATTACCATAAATTACTTTTCTAAGTAAACTCTAGAATCAATGATATTAATTCAAAATCTAAACAAAATGGAGCTTTCCATCTTCCACGTTTTGAGCATGGGGTCCAAATTATTTGTAACCAAACACCATATGCGTTAGCATTTGGGGTGTTTTGAGTTTTCAATGCCGAAAACACGTATTGTGACGACATATCCTAAATATTAACTATTATTATATTTTTTAAATTATTATTATTATTTTTTTTATAAAAAATAATATTGAGACTAAGAGTCCATGTTTTGACTATAAAAAATAATGAATAAAGGATAACATTTATTAATTCAAGATATAATAATTTCAAATCCAAATAACTCAAATAAATAGTAAAATTCTTAAATTGTCATGACCTCAATAGTTTTGGGGTACTGTTTGCCATTAAATAAAAAATTATTTAAATAACATCGTTTAGGAATTTAAGTTAATAATCAAAGCTTTAATCATAAAAAATAATGGATAAAAGATAACATTTGCCTAGAAAATAATAGTTTAGGATAAAATCAAATTGACAATAAATGACTTCTTAAATTGTCATGATCTAATAATTTGAGGATAATTTTTACCATTTAACCGCTTAAAATGCACCAAACATTATCATACGTAGGGTTTGGTTACAAATACTCTGAGCCTTACGATCAAAATGCTAGAGATGGAAAGCTCCATTTTGTTTAGATTTTGAATTAAAATCCTTGATTCGGGAGTTTAATAAGAAAATTAATTTATGGCAATAATATCCATGAGAATCTTAAAAAAATTAATAGTGAAATCTCGTAGAATACTGCATGAGAATATAATGTAAATAGAAAACAATTAATGATATTGATTTGAATTTTGCTACATCTATATAAACCCGACTTGCTTCTATACTATGCAGACACCAAAAGTAAAAATGGGAGGCAAAAGAGAGTTGGTTTTTAGTTTGATACAAATATGGTGCACCATAAATATGAGTAATTTGCATAAGGTCGTTGTTCATGATATTTCAATCAAACATTACCATTGGGTTTTTGTTGTTCACAAGGTAAGAATTTGAGACTCAAACCGGAATATTGAAATTTCTGTTTTTGTTTCTTTTGTATTCAAGGAATTTCCATATCGTGTGTTAGTATAATTTTAAAACTTTTTTCTAAATACAAAATTGAATTGTTTGGGTACATGATTAGTTACTGACTATCTCTGTAAATTCTGCTACATATTTTCATTTGACTTCTCAGGTCGGTAGAAATGACCTTATGCTTTGGATGTACACCCATCAAATGGCCAAAAACAGCCTTACACGAGCCAATTTCCTTATGCAGATTGAGAAAAAGTGGACTAATTACTAGTTGGTAAGTAAATTATATATGTGACACAAGGAATACAATAATATTCACTCTTCATTTTGCGTATTTGTTCACCTTTTTTCTTGTCCAGAAATTCATTATATATATATATATATATATATATATATATATATATATATTGTTTTCTTGAACAGTGGAAATCTAGTGGAAGTTTGAAAAGAAAAGGCGCAAGGTATTTATTCTAATCATAATCCAATCATATCAACTTGCAAACTTATTTATATTTCCAAAACTTATTTCTACCCTTTTTCATGTCTTGCTATTGAAGATGCAATGCAATGGTGGTATCCAAAGTAGTGAATGTACTCTCCCCGATGGCAAACAAGGATCAATATCTTCATTTGTTCTTAATAGAAGAATTTGTCAATATGTTCTTAAATTTTAAAATATTTGTAATTTGTCATTATTATTTGAACTGATTTTCAATCTGTCATTCTAGTCAATTTTTTCAATCAAACCACTTGAAAATATCACATGAGCTGCATATGTTTTTCTTTGACAAACATGCCCCTTATAGTTTAACATATTAAATTTTTAATTTGTCTTTATATGATCGGTTGAATTTTCAATCTATCCTTAATGCTAAGAAGTCCATTATGTTAATGCTAATAATTTGTTGCACTATAGTGATTTTTTTTGTTAATTAAAAATATATAAAAATAATTAGTACAAGTTAGTATGTAACTATTAAATGAATTGAAAAACAAATAACTATTTAAGTAATTTTTTCTGTGTAAGGGACATTAAGAAATTTTTCCCTCTATATATGGGGTACAGTTTTCTGTGTACTCCATCAAACTCACTATCACTGGAAGTCTATACCCTTGCTCCATTTCTATGCTTTGTTTCTACACAGTCCAAGCCAAAAAAAAAAAAAAAAAAAAAGCCAAGAGGAGGGAAGCTTGACCGAAATATCAGATTCTAGCAAGCACATTTTCTTCTCCAAGAAAAACAAAAAACTCCAGTTAGCTCCTTTTGCTTTTCTCTTGTTTGTTTGACCGGAAAAAATGACTGAAGGGACATATTAGAAATCAGATCAAATAATAAAAATAAATTAAAAACGTTTTAAAATTTAAAGATAAATTAAAAAATTAATTAGCTTATTATATAAGAATACATACCGATATTAATCCGATAAACAATGTGAAACTTTGCCTTAAAGCTCCATATAGATATGCTGCCTATCCAAATAGCAATTTTCAGGCTGAGGAATTTTAATAAGGAATTTGAAAGAATAGAAAAGCTATGTAGACATATTCCGCAAATATCTTTTTTCAGTTCTATACCCTTTGTGCTTAGCTTTATAAGTGTTTAATGATAAATTTTACCTCTATTCTATTATAATTTGATAATTTTTTATTTATAGTATCAAATTATGTAATTTGAACTCCAAAGTATTGGATATTGGGCAAATGTTATCTAAATTGTTCAATCTCTATTATGTATAACGGTCAATCTATTCAAATGTTAAAACAACGTCGTTTTAACATTTTATTATTAATTATGTTTTTAAAAAAACATTTTAAAAATATTTTTAACCCCTAATCTTGAACTTTTAAAAAAAATTAAACATTTTATTATTAATTATGTTTTTTAAAAAAACATTTTAAAAATATTTTTAACCCCTAATCTTGAACTTAAAAAAAAAATTCATATAAAATATTATAAAAATTTTATAAATTATGTATAAAAAACATTTTATAAATATTTTTAACCTCCTAATTTT